GAGGAGGAGGAGGAGGAGGAGGAGGAGGAGGAGGAGGAGAAGGAGGAGGAACAGGAGGAAGCCACACGCCTAGATGCCACTATAGAACTGATTCCTGTTGACCCTAGAAGAAGGCAGGACCAGGCCCATTCTGTGAGTTTAGACAAATGGATAATAACATATACCTACAACTATAGTATTACACAGCATAGTTTGTCCTAAAAATCTTCCTGCTCATCACTTTCCATCCTTCTTTGACCTCAGGTTGCCTTGGTTCTGCAGACCCCTTACCCAGGATGGAAACATGGCTAGAAGAGGCTACCACGGGCCTGTTTAGCTCAGATCTAAGCCCAAGTCTGCTTCTGTGTTTACCAAGAACACATCAAGACCCAGTGACTTGTGCAGTACCCCCCATGGAGGCTGGTCTTGCACCTTGCTCTGGTTGTGGCTCCTCCCTGCTCTCCTACTTAGTTGGCTCATCCAGCTTCCCACTAATGCAAGCCATGCTGGCTGGCCCTCCTAGGCTGGAGCCCAGATCCTCGGCTACTGGCTGCAGATGGCCCATCTGGCCTGCTGATCGGTGACCTCAACTTTGGTGCCAGTCCCATTCCTAGGATTGGGTTCCAGTGCTTTAGGCTTGAGTCTAGACAGATGGACCCATGAGATTGTCTTGGTCACACACCCCCCCTTTAGCCTGAAATTGTCAGAACCACACAGGTGCAAGCATTATAATTTGCTCTTTTGGTGACTGTGCCTTTGTCAACCAGGGAGAGGGAGCACTGTTATATCATGTATCATTTAGTGGTAGGGATGCCTTCTAGAAATGTAATTAAGAGATCATTTTGTTGTTGTGCAAACATCATGGAGTATGCTGACACAGACAGTGGGGACTCTGATGCTACTAAATGACATCATCTTTCAGGACCACCATTGCATATGATGTTTGTGGTTGGAACGTGAAGAGAATGCTGTTTGGCACTACATGACTCTACCTCTGTTGAATGGCAGGTGAACAGAGAACTGGAACATTGGATCATGCGCACCAGGGCATACAGCCCGGAGCCTGTGGGAGATTGGCTTCTGGCCCCTTGGCTAGCCTTTCCCTGCCCTCACCACAGGGGGATCAGGCTCACACAATTACTGGACAATTGAACTTCTTGACCAAAGACAGGAAAATACTGGCTTTAAGCAGGTAGACAGAAAGGTCCCTTCCTTTGAGTGCCTGTGATTCCAGAGTGTACACAGTCTGAGGCTCTCAGCACACATTCCTGCTCTGTCTGAGCACACCAGCCATAGTCAGTGGCCTAGAAATTGACTTCTAAGTTCAGATGGTGGTGTCCACACCTTTGGGGCATTTGAACTCTTTCATTCCTGTTTTTCTTCTGCCTAAACATTCCCACTTACATCTCAGCACTTGAAGTCATCAGATACTGAGGGACAGTTTATCAGGGAAGACAGATCTCCTTACACAGGTTACAATTTGACCTGCAGGGCTCTGCCACAGCCCTGTGTTTCATCATGCCTGTCTAAAGTGACCCTCTGGCCGCATCACAGCTTTGCACTGAAGCAGGAGGAATGTGTACTTTGGAAGGCCTAGTTTGTAGAATCTGCTCCAACCCTAGCCTCTGTCTGAGATCCATCTTAGTAACTGCTGTGGTCCTGGACTGCTTGCCTGGGCTAAGGCACAGGGTGTCTGCAGGTGGTAGTCATGATTAGCAAAACTCTTGAGATGCTGTGGTTTGTGGAGACTTCAGCCTAGGGATTGGGAGAGCCGTCCTGGTCATGGTTGTTTACTGTCTGTTTGGGGTAGACAGCACAAGCGGGTCACCACCTGCCCTTCTGCCTTCTGAAGACAGAAATGAATGGAATACAAAGAGTGAGCACAGAGGGCCATTGTGCAGAACCATGCAGATAAAGACGGATCTTCCATCCTCCTCCCCACTTTTCTCGTCCTCCCCCTCCTCCTCC